ATGGGGTAACTCACCACATTTCTCAGTATCTTAAGTTTACTTATCTATAAAATAGTAAGAGACATTGTTGGACTTTGGGGCCAGCAGGTGGCGTGGAGGTTAAGGCGCTGGACTCCCACTTGGCTGACCACATTTCAAGTCCCTGTCCTGATGGCTTGAAAATCACTCCAGGTGAGTGTGCATGGGTGCCCAAAATCCCGAGAGGAGAATGAAGCAGGTATTACGACGTGGCTATCCTCCCAGAGGGTGATTTCTTACTTTCTCATTGGCTCTGTCTTTCTGGTGAGCACACATACCCTATGGCAAAAACCTTTTTAAAAAATTTAAAAAGATAGTCTCTAATCTAGCTTTAGTCATTTATGAGCGCAAGTTTAAGTTAATTGGATTCTTCTGTAGTATCTTTAAAATTGGAACATTGCCTGGAGGAAACTTGTTTTAAGAACTTAAGCTTCAGAAATAATTCCTTTTAGCTTAAACAAAGTTCATAAATAACAGGATACATTTTTATTGTAAAATTCAGTAACACGGAAATATGCTTAGTGAACAGCAAAGGTGCCCCTTTATCCCCACGCTTCTAATCTTACCCTCCTATCAGAAGTAACCCAGTTGCTTATTTGATGCATGTACTTCTAGACTTGTTCTGCATGTACTTTTGGTACATTGTATACATATATAAATACAAAGTTTTTGTGTTTATATTATTATTGAGAAGTGTATTTTGCTCTCTGTGTGTTTTTATTGCCAGAGGATGTGTGTGGTCACCTGAGAAAAAGAGCGACAAAGCATCCCCCAATGGGGCATGGTCATGCCACAATCTCCATTTTTTCATTTCTCCATCTCATCAGGATACGCTCGTACCCAGTGTGTTTTTCAGGCTGCCAGGCCGGGACTCAAACTTCCATAGGCTATTTAGGATCTGGCTGTCTATGACAGCACTGAACTGCTGCACTAATGGGCCAGCTCTGTGTGTATAGTTTATTAAATTATTCAGTATAGATTGTTTTACAGTTTGATTATTCCACTTAAAGTGTCTTGGATCTTTCAAATAATTGGTTTATATACCCACCTTACTATTTTTAATTGTTGCATGGTATTCTGTGGTGCGAACATGTCATAGCTTTTTTTACCCCATCTGTGGACATAAGGTCATTTTTAATGTTGTGGTAATAACTAACGGTGCAGTAAAGAGTATCCCTGTAGGATAGTACCTTACTCAGCCCTCCCTGTATGGCCATGTGCTGCATTAATGCAGCTAATCATCCCAAGCCCAAGGTAAGTGCTAATTAGCATGAGAAAACTGCACCAGAGGAAAACAGTTATGCAGCTAGTACCAAGCCACCGGATTTACTCAGTCACTGTAACACCAGAGCTCATGCACTCTTCTGACAGCTTTTGTCCGATTGTGAGAGGCTGATGCTCCTGAAGGTTAAGAGCCAGGATATCCCTGAGTGTGCAGGGCACACACTTGCCTGTGATGGGGGGCTGACTGGTGGCCTGAGTGACCTGTGGCATCAGAACTCTGTTGGAGGTGCTTTCTCTATCCCCTGCTTCGCTTCCTCTCCCTCTTCCCTCCCCCGTCTCTCTCTGTCACTTAGTTACTTACGGAAATACTCAACAAATAAAACTTGTTTTCAAAACCCAAGATTTCAGACAGGAAGGGATTACAGAGTTTTAGAGCTATAAGGAACAGTTGAGAACAGCTAGTGTGCTGCTTCGTATCTGCATTACTACTGCCTTAGCCAGAGTGACCCTGTAATTGACCACCCAAACGCGAAACTTGCTAGTGAAAGAGGGTGCATTAGGATAACCTTTATACCGAGATGGCAGTCATATTTGTCCTGGACGGTTGAGACATATGGACACCTCAACCCCAGCCCTGCTGCCACCGTCACCTTTCACATAAGGAGCTGCAGTAGCCTCGCCCGGGCTCTGCACCGACGCCTATCCTGTCCGGTGCGTTCTCATAAAGCGACCGAGACCGAGATGGCATTCTTAAAACAAGCTGAATATAGCACTCACTAGTTTAAACCCCTTCCGTAGGTTTGTAAAAGGATATATTAAGGATAAACTTATTTGGTCCTCACGTGATTATTGTTAAAATGCAGCCTAAAATAGAATAGCGAGCACATAAATTGGGAGCCGGGAGACCTGTGGTTGAGCCTCAGATCAGTACTAGTTTGGTGACCTTGGATAAGTGATTTAATCTCTCGAGCTGTTTCCTCAAATATAATTTATAGGTAGTGTGTGGAGGGGATGAGGTAATAAATATAAAGGTACAGTATAAACGCAGGACATTGTTAATAGTTAACTCTGTGTCAAGTCCTTTGAGAAACTGTCCTGGTGTCCTATCACAGTCTATCTGGTTGTAGTAGGGTTTTTTACAAGCTGAGCCACCTTTCACGTGACTAAGAAGTTTCACAAAATAGAAACGTCAGTCACTTTAAAAAAAAAAAATCATAGTTTATAAAAGTTAAGTGACTTGCCAAAGGTAAAAATTAGTTACCAAGTTGTTACTAAAACTCAGACTTAAAAAGAAAGAGTTCAGGACATGTTCTGCGCTGTAGTGTAATAATGTTTCCCCTAGACTCTAGTACCTTGCTAAAAGAATTAAGTAGTCTATATACTTATACAATCACATAAATATTTTATCTGTGATTGTAACTTAAAGATTGAGCTCAACCTTAATAATTAAAAACAGTTGACGGGACCAGCAGATGGCATAATGGTTACATCGCTCGACTCCCAAGTAGTTCGAGTCCTGGACCCAGTGGCTTAAAACTCATGCCGGGTGCACGTGCGCCCAAAATCCCAAGGGCAGAAGGTAGGAGAAGAAATTGTGGTGTGGTCATCATCCCTCCAGGGGGGAGTATACACGCCCTATAGCAAAAATCTTTCTCTCAAAAAAAAAAAAAAAAAAAAGACCAGTTGAGAAGTCATCCCTGTGTAGTTTACTGGCTTAATTCAGGACCTTTGGCTCTAAGTGATGACTTGCAAAAGGAGTTTATTAGGTGACATAATTAGCTAGGAGTCAGTATTACAGAATTTCTCAGAATTGAAGTTAGAACCAGAACCCAGGGTAGTCTAGACTGTCCATTACTGAAAGCCCAGGGGCTACATCCCTATAGTTGTAGGAACAAGGAGGGAGATGAGGCTATACTTCTCTACCTCCGGGAAATTTGGAAGGACTTCACTTGGCCTAGCCTACATCTCATACCTACTCCTTTGGCAATACTAGATCAAAGCACATACAATTTTCCATAGCCAGTCATATTTATACCAATTAAAAAAGACCATTTTGGGGGCTAGCAGTTAGTGTAATGGCTATGTCGCTGGACTCCCACGTAGTCGACCGCGGTTTGAATCCCAGACTCGGTGACTTAAACTCATGCCGGGCGCGTGTGCTTGCGTGCCCAAGATCCCGAGAGGATAATGGAGGAGAAGGGATTGCAGCATGACCATTCCCCCTTGAGGGTGATTCCCTGCTTTTTGTCTCTCTGTCTGTCTCTGTCTGTCTGGCGAGCGCACACACTCTATAGCAAAAACCTCTCCAAAAAAAAAAAAAGACCATTTTGTATGGTTCTACCTTATAATATGGAATAGTAGAGGAGAATATGGGGCATCGTAAATTGGCAACCATAATAGGACCTCCTACGTGCTGGAGTTCACCGAAGAAAGAGCTGCTGTTCTGCATGGTGTGAAGGTGGGAGAGGGTGGCAGTAAAGGCGGTGTGAGGAGTGCTTTCCGATCATCCATACTGACGTGGGTGGGTTCCCTGTCCAATACAGAAGCAAACTGGAAATGATTTGTACTCCTCTTTTATTTTCATTAGGTAGTACAGTAATGAGATGATAATTAAAGATATATTGAGTAGTTTACTGCCTTGCAAGTTTCTAGATAGCTGCAGTGATACTATATTTGGGCAAGAAAACAATTAAGGTAATTGTATAAAAATAGAGAAAAACTTACCATGGGAAAAATTTCCTTTCATTTGTTAAAATGTTTAACTCGTGTTTTTTTTTATTTTAAATTTGTTAGAATAGAGGCCAACAGGTGGCATAGTGATTAATGTGCTATATTCCCACATGGTCAACCGATTCCCAGATTCAACAACTTAAAGCTCATGCAGGGCACATGTATATATGTGCCCAAGTCCTGAAAGAATGGAGGAGAGGGGATTACGGCACAGCCATCTCCCCTGGGGTGTGATTTCTCACTTCCTCTCTGTCTCTCTGGGAGGCACATGTGCCCTATAGCAAAAATCATAAAAAAAAAAAAGGAGAAAAAAACTAAATTAGAATAGCTATGAAGATCTTAGGTATTTTTAAATTAAATTCAGAAAATCTTTATAAAATCTTTTTATAAAAATCAATCTGTGTAAGCATGATGGGATAGTTTTTTGTTGTTTCTAAAAAATGTTTTATAAACTGTTTTTTTAATTACTTAATTTTATTTGTTATTTTTTTTTAGTTTTCTATAAGGCACGTGTGCTCACCAGAGAAAAAAAAGAAAGAGGGGATGTGAGAAAGTAAGCCACCAGGTCTTGAACTGACCATGTGGGATTCCAGCATCCCAACCATCAAGCCACCTTCTGACCCTTTTTTTGTTTTGTATTTTTAATTTTTTTCTTTTTTTTGGAGAGGTTTTTGCTGTAAGGGATGATTTCTCGCTTTCTGTCTCTCTCCAGAAGACAGAGAGAAAGAGAGACAGAAAGCGAGAAATCATCCCTCAAGGGGGATGGCCATGCCACAGTCCCTTCTTCTCCATTCTCCTCTCGGGATCTTGGGTATGCACGCACATGCACCCGGCATGAGTTTAAGCCATTGGGTCCGGAACTAGAACTGCAGTCAACTACATGGGTGTCCAGCGACACAGCCATTAGGCTAACAGCTGGTCCCAATTTTCCTCATCTTTTAAGACTTATCTAGTGTAGTTTTTCTTGCCAGAAAGATTCTTTCTCAAACAATTACTTTAAACATATTTCATGTTTTTTAACTTTATAGATGATAGTATTTCTGCTGCCAGTACTTCCGACGTTCAAGATCGCCTCTCAGCTCTTGAGCTACGAGTTCAACAACAAGAAGATGAAATCACTGTGCTAAAGGCAGCTTTGGCTGATGTTTCAAGGCGTCTTGCAATCTCTGAAGATCATGTGGCCTCAGTGAAAAAATCAGTCCCAACTAAAGGTAATTAAGTGTGCTATGAAGTAGAAAGAGTTTTGCTTTCTACAACATTTTCCTCAAAAATGAAAATTGAGACTAAAATAGTTTCTCTTTTGGGTTAGTTATGATTGTAGTTTGGTTTCCATTCCCTTTTTTCTGCACTGCCAAGACATTCTGGAAGTTTATTCTTTATTTTAAATTTCCAGTTTTTGTGTATTACTATTGATTGAACATAAAGCTTTTCTGTCATGGTATTTGTGTGAAGTTATTAAGATCTTTTAGAAAAAAAAATTAATGAGGGCAGGAACTGAATCTTTTTATGTCTCCCATTCTTCAGCCTAGCAGGTAAGCATGCATACACACACACACACACACACACACACACATACATATATGTGTATTCAATCCTGTTATTACAGAAATATGATTTAAATCATTCTAGTTTTAAGTAGCTTCAATCTAAGCCCTCCATGGTCATTAGGAGATTCCCGAAGAAATTAATTTAAGTTTTTAAACTTACTGCCAGCCCCAATAAGATAGGAATTTTACCATTCACCAAGTGGGGCTTCTCAAGGCTGAGGGGAGCAGTCACCATACTGTGGCTCTGACTTGGAGAAGATCTAATGTGTCCTTTCCCTTCTTTCAACCACTGAGAAATAATTTAATGTTCTTTCACATTAATCAAGCATTTGAACATAACATTTCATATCTCGTATTTCTTGGTAGACTAGATAGGGTTAGGCATGGTTATCTCCATTTTGGCATTGAGGAAAGTGAGGATGTTCATTGACTTATCTCCTACCGCAGTAAATCAGTATGAATTATTAACGTAAGGAGGACTTTTACGTAACTCCCAGATTCAAGCCAGATAGGAGATAGCGCAGTTAACCAGGATATGAGAGGCAGATTTGAACGAGAGCCTGAATGTTGGCTTTGAAGAATATACGTAACATAGATAGGTACATAGAGATAGCTGAATGTCAGGTCTAGTGCTCAGGCTAGTCTTGGCTTGCAATAAGAATTCGGGAATGTTCGGTTCATGGATGATAGCCGAAGTCATAGTAAGAGGAAGACAATGAGAAGGCAGCCCAAGATAGTTCCGTTGGTAGCTCCAACATTTTATCATTTAAAAAAAAAAAAGGATTTGTGTTGCTACACTTCTGTAGAGAGGTCAAAAAATGACAGAGGTGACCATTAGATTTGACATTTGTGAGAAAGTTAGAACCCCTTCCAAAAGCAATTTTAGTGGAATGATAAGATTGCAAATCAAATTTTGGTATTTTGGGAAGCAGCAATCAAGGATTGTAAAATTGAGAGCAGCAAATACAGCCAGTCTTTGGGAAAAATTTGCTTGAGGAGAGAGGTTGATAGTAGCTAGAAGAAGATGCAAAATTGAAGAGCAGTTTTAATTTTTTTTTAAAGATGCAAACCTTAAAAGATATATGTTGAGGACAAAAAAGGCAACAAAGGAAGATGATATGAAGAGGAAGGGGGGATAATTGATGAGGCAAGTTTCCTGATAGTTTGACAAGGGATCTTAAAGCAGGTGAGAAAATAGTAAACCTAAGGAAGACTACTACTACAAAGATAGAATTGAAAAAGGGTAAAACTGAGTGCAGGTTGATACATACTCAGGTTGTCAGGGCTGGAGGTTTCTATCTTATACTATAAGAAAGTAAGATAGGTACTAGGTGGTTTGTTTGTTTTCTTTTTTAATTATTTTTAATTTATTCATTTACTTATTTTGACCAGAGAGACACAGAGAGAGAGAAAATGAGAAAGCAAGCCACCAGGTCCAGGACTTAAACCATGGTTGGCCATGTGGGAATGTCCAACACTTTAACCACCACGCCACCTGCTGGTCCCCACTAGGTGGTTTAAAAAAAATGAGTGTGTAAAGGGAGATGGGGAAGGAATAAATGTTTGGAATGGTTGTAGTAGAGAATGGGAAACCATAGATATATGAAAGAAATGCTGAGTGACCCTCAGATTATGGAGGTGGGAAACTATCGAGGAAGGAGAGTATCATTCTGCAAGGCTTTACAATTTCCACTGTTCGTTTACTCTCAAGTACTTTGGGCCTGGGTGTTAATAGTTGAGAGTTATAGGACTGGCAGGTGGAATGATGGTTAAGGTGCTGGACTCCCACATGGCCGACCACGGTTTGAGTCCCAACCTGGCAGCTTGCTTTCTCCTGTCCCCCTCCATCTCTCTCTCGTCAAATTACAATAATAATAATAAATAAATAAAATAGAATCTTTTTAAAAATAGCTGAGAGAAGATAGGCTTGATCTTCTCCATTACTGTTAGTAAGATAAATGTGTCAATGGCAAGGGGTAAGCGATGAGGGGCGACTTGAGAGTTTGACAAAAGACCCAATAGAAGCCATTTTGGCTAATAATACTATATTATGATTTGTTGTTTTTTGCTTTTACTTATTTGAAAAGCAACTTTGAGACTGCCAAGATCAAGTCAGGAAAAAATTGCTTATAAATTTATTTGTTTAAGGGGATTTTAGAGTTCTTAGAATGAGAAACCAGATCAATTCATGTATATGGGCTTTATGGAGAAGGTAAACTTTGTGTAAGAAAAAAGAACAAATTTCCTATCTGTTTAATATAATTGGTATATGTACCCCCAGTTTCTGAGCCTATTTAAGTAGAAAATGATACAGTGTTAAGTTGCTACCTACACATTTTTTTAAAGAATTATTGATTTATTTAATTCCATTTGCTATTATTTTTTAATTGACCAAAGACACACACACACACACACACATACACACCCAGAGAGAGAGAGAGAGAGAGAGAGAGAGAGAGAGAAAAGGAAGGTGAGAAGGCAAGCCGCCAGGTCCAGGACTCAAACTGCAGTTGGCCATGTGGGAGTCCAGTGCCTCTAGCCACAACGCCACCTGCCGTCCCCACTACCTACATGTTTTTAAAAGCTTATTTTAAATAGTTTAAAACATTTTAAAAACATTACTTTTTGGGAACCAGCAGTTAGCGTAATGGCTATGTCGCTGGACTCCCACGTAGTCGACCGCGGTTCGTGTCCCGGACCCGGTGGCTTAAAACTCACGCCGGGCGCGTGTGCGTGCGTGCCCAAGATCCCAAGAGGAGAATGGAGGAGAAGGGATTGCGGCATGACCATCCCCCCTGGGGGGTGATTTCTGGCTTTCTGTCTCTATGTCTCTCTCTGTCTGTCTGGTGAGCGCACGCGCCCTACAGTGAAAATCTCTCTAAAAAAAAAAAAAAAACATTACTTTTTCCTCTCTCTTTCTTCTTTCCTTCCTTCCTGCCTTCCTTCCTTTCTTTCTTTTAAGATGCAGGATCTTGCTGCAATCCCCAGGCTGGCCTCAAACTCATGATCCTCTTGTCTCAGCCTCCTGAGAAGCTGGGATTACAGGTGTGCTTGGCTAAAAAACATTTTTACATTTTTGTGCTAAAGCAGTAGTACATTGTCATCTTGTATTAATTAAGCAAAATTTAAAGAATGTTTTCTCTCTCTCTTTTTTTTTTTTAACTAACTAAGGATTTCAGTAAAGAAAATTCTGAACTATTTAAGAGAAAATTAAAAGGCTGCTTTTGGGGGAAAAGATAACATGATTTTTTTTTTTTAGCAACACGCCACTTAATTAGCACCTACTTCTCAGTGTCGTGAAATATCTCCTATTTTCCAGGAACTTATCTTCTTCTGATTATTTTAAAAATTTTGTCAGAGGAGGGACCAGCAGTTAGCATAATGGCTATATCACTGAACTCCCATGTAGTTGACCGTGGTTCAAGTCTCGGACCTGGTGGCTTAAACTCACACTGGGCACATGTGCGTAGGTGCCCAAGATCCCGAGAGGAGAATGGAGAAGGGATTGTGGCATGGCCATCCTCCCTGGGGAGGGATTTATTGCTTTCTGTCTCTCTCTTTGTTTTTCTGGCAGGTGCACAACCCTATAGCAAAAACCTCTCCAAAAAAGAAAATGTTGTCAGTGGATGAGTGAGCTCAAGTGAGAGAGAGAGACAGACAGGAAAAATGAAAAATCACGCCCCATAGAAAATGCTCCTACTGCGGGCCCTTCTCCATCTCTCCCTCTTTTCAAGATTTCGGGCATGCATATACACGTGCCTGGCGTGTTTCTCTGAGCAGTTGACTGTATGGGATCCAGCCACCTTCACCACCACACCATGGGCTAGCCCGGAATATTTTTCCTAAAGTTACCCTAGTTTCTAGCCCTTTTCTACTGTCCTTATTCATAGTTCCATTGCCTCTAAAATGACTGTAGGATCAGTTTTGTTAATGGCTCTCTAGTGGAGAATCACCTATTTATGGAGCCATAGAGCCACTGTAGCTCTTCTGCATTAGAATACTTTCTTTTCACATAATACCAGTTCTGAATTCTTACTGATAATCTTATTCATTAAATAGGGCCGGGTTCATAACATGGTGGTTAAGTGCAGTTCGGCACTTAACCCACACGGCAAGCCAAGGTTCCAGTGTCAACCCCGGTGGCTTGAAAAAACATGCCGGGTGTGTGTGTGTGTGTGTGTGTGTGTGTGCGTGTGCGTGTGTGCGCATGTGCACGCACGCACGCTCTCCCCCCCAATCCTAATGGGATGGAGAAATGGAGGAAAAAGGATTGTGGCATAACGAAGCCCCATTGTGTGATTCTTTCTCTCTCTAGCAAGCACATTTCTTCTCCAACAATAAAAAAATTAAGTGGAAAGATACTGTTTCTTTGAATTGGTTCTAAAATTATGCTTTATAAGTTTACTTTGACTGTTATTATGATATGCTAAATTGTTACTTATACAATGCAGACCACTCACTTGTTAGATTATTCTTTTATTCATTCGATACCTTGGACACAGGCTTTGGATTGCTGTCTATAAAATGGATTGATGGTGTTATTGATTATATAATACACTTTCAAAATTATTACAGTGAGTAAAATTTATTGTTAAGAATTGATTACTCAGGGGAACCAGCAGTTAGCGTAATGGCTATGTCGCTGGACTCCCACGTAGTCGACA